AGGAAGAAATATAGAGAAACTGCAATTAAAATAAGTGCGCGAGAATGAACTGAGTAAGAAATAAGCTTCAACGACTCGAAATATTAAAAAATAATATTCTGAAATTAGAATTTGGAAATAACGGGTAAAAGTGTGAGGGGAATGAGTAAGAAATGAGTGAATAAATGCTTGGTAAGAAATAAGCTGTGACGATTCCAAATATCAAGAAATAATTTCTAAAATTAGAGTTTATGAGTAAAAGTGTAAGGAAAATGAGTAAGAAATAGTTAACGAAGTTTATTTTAAGTATAAGGTGTAAAGTATGCCATAAACATTCTGTTTACGAAATGTTTCAGCTACTCTGCATCTCTGCAGCATCCGTTACAATCGTCTGGTTAGAGATGAAAAGTTTGGAATAGAGAGCATGTGAGGATTGGGAAGGAATGTTCGAGAACATTGTGGAATATTCGGGAGCAATCGGGTACGTTCTGTGTTTGGATATATAAGGGTTATGGTTTTCGGTAATCTCAACCTGAAAATTGCAACGCTTCGACACTCTAACGACTACGTGAATGGCGCTATTGGCTTTTCCAACCTTTTCAAGATGGCACAATTTCCCAATGGAAGGACGGCACACCGTCGGTGGACTGATGAACCGACTACTGGAGGATTTCGAAGACTCCATGCAACCATTTTGGGAGTGTGCCACTGCGGGTGAAAATTCACTCGGTGAGGTAAGCATGTCTTTCTGTATTGTTCTTTCTATTTCCGTTTCTTATTTCCTATGCTATCATCCCACCGACAACGGTAATATTTCCGGACTGTGACTGTCCTAACTGTAAAATGTCTTCTAGATTATCGATGAGAAGGAGAATTTCGGTATTCAGCTGGATGTCAGGAATTTCCGACCGGAAGAATTGTCGGTGAAGATGCAGGATGGGAGACTGCTTGTTGAAGGACATCACGAGGAGCGAAATGATCGGCATGGTTCTGTGGAACAACACTTTATTCGGAAATACACCATGCCAAAGAACGTACTGCAAGACAGTTTGGAATCGCATTTGTCCGATCAAGGAATCCTCCGAATCACTGCCAAGAAGAAAGCTGTCGAGAATTCGCAATTTAAAAATATTCCAATCCAATTCAAAAGTGACAAACAATAATTGTCTATTGTGTCACGCATATCGGCT